GGCCAAAAGAAATCTGTTCAAGAACAAATGCAAAGTCCTGAATTTAGGACAGAACCAAGCCATGTACTGGTACAGGCTGGGGGCTGACTGGCTGGGCAGCAGCTCTGCAGAAAAAGACCTGGGGGTTAGAGTGGACAATAAGCTGAGTATGAGCCTGTAGTGTGCCTGTGTTGCCAAGAAGGTTAACGGCATCCTGGGCTGCAATGGTAGGTGTGGTTGCCAGTAGGTATGGGGAAGTAATTATTCCCCTCTATTTGGCACTGGTGAGGCCACATCTGGAGTACTGTGTTCAGTTTTGGGCCCCCCACTACAGAAAGGATGTGGACAAATTGGGGAGAGTCCAGCAGAGAGCAACAAAAATGGTGAGGGGGCTGGGGGATATGACTTTTATGGGGGAACTGGGCTTGCTTAGTCTGCAGAAGTGGAGACCAAGAGGGGACTTAATAGCAACCTTCAACTACTCGAAGGGGTGTTCAAAAGAGGATAGAGCTAGACACATTTCAGTGGTGACAGATGATGGAACAAGAAGCAATTGTCTCAAGTTGCAGCAAGGGAAGTTTAGGTTAGATGTTAGGAAGAATTTTCTCACTAGGAGGGTAATAAAATACTGGAACGGGTTACCCAGAGAGGTGGTGCAATCTCCATCTTTGGAGGTTTTTAAGACCTAGTTAAACAAAGCTTTGACTGGGATGATCTAGTTGGGATGGTCCTGCGTTGAGCAGGGGGTTGAACTAGATGACCTCCTGAAGTCCCTTCCAACCCTCATTTTCTATGAGTCTATAAGAGCTGGAATTCTGTAACTGCCTTGTTTTAAGCAGTCTTGCTTCTGACACTGTTTTGGGGTAGAGGGTGAGGGAGGGGGATACATTTGAGACTTGGATTCACTAGCCAGAGTTTATTATGAGTTTGTAATTTGGGTGGATCATTTGGAGAAATAGCTTAATAGAAAACTCTGGCTCAAATAAGATTATATTCAATGGTTTTGAAGTGATCATTTGCAAACAGTATGGAATAGACACCGCTGCTTCTGGGAGCACCTTCAGAAACTCCTATGTTAAAATGGGAATTTTTCTGAAACACAGTACTAAACCAAAAAATTGCTATAGTATATTAGCCAAAATAGAAGTGTTGTATAAAATAAAGGCATCCAAAACTTTCCTTTCGTGAGGAAGAGGCAGTTATCTTTTCAACCTAGTTGGCTTAATAAGTAGGGGTTCACTGATAGATTTTTGGGGCCAATACCGACAGCCCTTTTTTTTGTTTAAGGAGGCATGTCGGCCGATACCGAGCCAATTTCCGATACCAGCCCGGCAGCTTGGAGAGCTGTGTGCAGCTGGTAAGTTTGGTGTGGTGGAAAGGGGGAGGGAGGGGGCATGGGGGGTCAGATCAAGGCACCGTGGTGAGGGAGGAGTAGGGCTGGGGCAAGTGCTGCACAGGTGGGGCTGGTGCGGGACGGAGCCGCAGCTTGTCCAGGGGCACAGTTGTGGAGGGCAGTTCCCGCTGCTAGTCTGGTGCTGGTCCGGCAGCTCCTGCCACTTATCCGGGAGGATATGGGTGGGGGCATGTGCCCCCAGATCAGGGGTAGGCTGGGGCTAGGGCTGCGTGGGGCTCTTCTTGTCCCACTGTGCCATCCAGGGGCATGCACCCCCCCCCCAACCCCCATGCCCTCCCGGATGAGTGGCTGGAGCCACAGTGAGAGCTGAAGAACCAGTGAGAGAGCGCCAAACCAGTGTCTCCCAGGCCAGCAGCGTGTAGCAGCAGGAGCCTCACTTGCCTCACTGTGCCCCCCCGGACAAGTCACAGCTCCTTCCTGCACCTGCCCTCCTGCCCTGCACCACCCCAGTTAGGCAGCACTTGCCCCAGCCGCACTCTTCCCTTACCACCGGGTGCCTTGATTATTTTTTTTTCACCCCCGCCATGCCCCCTCCCTCCCCTTCCACCACACCAGACTTACCAGCTGAACGCATGTCTCCAACCTGCTGCGCTGTGCTCCTCGCTGCCCATGTGCTGTGCTGCAGCTGTGTGCACGTATGGGCATTTATCAGCCACATCAGGACAGTTTTCCAAGCCAATCAGTTTTCTTTGCATCGGTGCCAATCTGATATGGGACCTATGTATCAGTGCATTTCTAAATGGAAGATGTCACCTCTTCCTCAAGAGTGGTTTTTTTTGGATGCTTTTGCCTCTAGACCAATATGGCTGCAGCCTATATCCCTTATCAGATTAATTAACTTTCCTTTTAATGGACATACACAACACAGGCAACTTAAGCACAAAGAATCTTTGAAGCATTATGTAATTTAATTTTTTCAAAAATACTCTGAGAAGCTGGAGAAAGAGAACAGACTACCCAAGTCTGGAAGATGCACGAACTGCTTGTGATGCACTTGTTCGGGGAGCAGCTTGTGGTGGTTGTGTGTCTGATGACAACCCGGTAGATTTTTATTCTGGGTTTTTTTTTCTTTTTTTTCCCTCTGTTTAAAATATGGGACCATTCTTTGCTTTCAAATACCATTCATGGTACGTTCTGTAAACCTCCAAAAAACCTGTGTTTCATGAGTTCAGCAATATTTGCCAATAGGTCACATTACCAGTTTGCTTCTTTAGAAGAACTGCCAAATTCAAGCCACACTGGTTCTTGAAAATGTACCATGTAGCATACTGGCAATTGCCACTACTGCTTGTTCACCTAGATTAAAACAATAATGGGAAAATGGAACAAATGGGAAAATAAAACAAGAAATGTGGAGGACACAAGCCATTCTACAGCACTGTGTAGCCTTTTCTTTTTCATGCAGTTGGATGGCTTCTATGACTAAGTATTATAAAAGTATACAGGTCTGTCTGAAAGTGTTGGTTTTTTACTGCTTTGGGGACTAAAATATTGTTGTGCTGGGTAACATAGGACCTGAACTAAATGACATTAATCTGAAAGCCCCCCCTCCTTCCTTCTGCAGGTCCATGTTGGAACTCACATGTGGAATAACTCTGCCAGGCGTGGAAGAAGACTCCCCCATGCCTACTGATCCCCTCTGACCAGTTTGTAACAGGCCACAAGATCCCCCCTCAGCCTTCTCTTGTGGAGGCTGAACAGGTTCAGGTCCCGTTGCCTCTCCTCGT